CTCTCTTTTATATAGGACTTTCAGTCCTGTCCCCACTCCAAAATCTTCTGCAGAGATTCCCCCCTACTTTAGGAAACTCCAGTTTTCACATTATCTCAAGATATAGCACCAATGTTTGGGATCTTTTTGTTCTTAGCTAAACAAACCAGGAGCAATCACAAACATGGAGACCATATTTGCTCAGTGGGAAAACACATACTTCCTGTGTTAGGGATTCCTGGCTTCAGTGATAGGACTAGAAGCATCTACTTTCTTGACACTTTGGGTTGGTACCTATCCAAGGTTCTGTAATTGGCTTGGATGACCAAATAAGTCTTGCTTAGTAGGATGTTGCTTAGTAGGATGTGGTGTTGGAGGAAAGTGCTGAGAGTGCCTTGGACAGCGAGAAGATCCAACCAGTCCATACTTCAAGAAATAAAGCCTGACTGCTCATTGGAGGGAAGAATAGTAGAGGCCAAGATGAAGTACTTTGGCCACATCATGAGAAGAAAGGAAAGCTTAGAGAAGACAATGATGCTGGGGAAAATGGAAGGAAAAAGGGCAAGAGGGAGACCAAGGGCAAGATGGATGGATGGTATCCTTGAAGTGACTGGATTGACCTTGAAGGAGCTGGGGGTGGTGACGACTGACAGGGAGCTCTGGCGTGGGCTGGTCCATGAAGTCACAAAGAGTCGGAAATGACTGAACGAATGAACTTGCTTAGTAGGATGCAGCCTCTTATGTTCATACTAGGCATTGCTAGTTCCCTGAACTGTCCTTTTCCTGCTCACAAAAAAAATAAAATAAAAATGGATTGGCTCTCCTAGAGGTTTCCATGCAAGGCATTTCAACTTCTTCTCTTTTTTTTTGGTTGAAGGAGTGTGAAAACATAACTTTTTCATTATTATGTGTGCTTGTTTAGTATTATATTGGCACTGTTAGTAGTTTGTGAAATTCTTGTAAATATACCAAAAGTAGAAAATGTGCCCTAAGGCCCACCAGGATTGCCCACCATACAATAGACTCTCAGGCTGGATCTACACTGCCATATAATCCAGTTTCAGAAAGAGGATTAACTGCTTTGAAGTGGATTATATGGCAGTATAGTCTCATATAATCCAGTTCCTGAATCCAGATTATCTGCTTTGAAGTGGATTATATGGCAGTGTAGATGCATATGATCCAGTTCAAATCAAGTAGTCTGGATTTAGAAATGGGATTATATGGCAGTGTAGATGCAGCATGAGTCTACACTGCCACATATTAGATCTCAGTTAATTGAAATTAAAACAAACGAACAGAACTCTCAAGCAACCAATAAAAAAATCAAAGAAACAATTCTGCATTCACAAAGTTGTTTTTATTATACAATAAAACCATGTTAGCATTAAATTTATCTTTATTTGTTTTGAATTATTGCATTTTAATATAAATATCAAGTCAATACAGAGTTTGTGATATGGTTTAATATGGGGTGTAGTATTACTTAGGCATTTTTTAAAAAATCGTAACTCTCAAGCAACCAGAAAATACATTTTAAAGAAACAACATCTGTTTTGCTTGTTCTTAGAGCCAAAACCTAATAGGGGAAGCCAGTGAGTTACAGACAATGACACAAACTGGCTTGGAAAGTGCGGAATTGGGTCAAGGCCCTCGACAAAGTAGTCTTCGGAGCAAAGATTGGGGTTAGCAAGAGGCTTCAGAGAAATGAAAGTGAATGAGGAATTGGGAACTAAATGGCTGGAGAGGAAATGGGTGCTAACCTCTTTTGAATCAGTTTCAGAATGCAGACTAAATGTGTTGAACTGCAATGGGATTGTGGCGCAGCTGGCTGGGTGTCAGCTGCATTAAGATCACTACTGACCGAAAGGTCATGAGTTTGAAGCCAGCCCGGAGTGAGCTTCCGGCCAATTGTGTAGCTTGTTGTCGACCTTTGCAACCCGAAAGACAGTTGCATCTGTCAAGTAGGAAATTTAGGTACCACCTATGTGTGGGGAGGCTAATTAACAAATTTACGAGGCCATAAAAAAATCTCCAGCAAAAGCATGCGGGGAATGCAGAAAGTACTTCATCAGTGTCACAGATGGACGGTGAAGCGACAGCTCCCTTGGTGGCCAGAAAGCTGGAATGTTAAATAGCCTCTGATTGTCTGTCTATATGTGTTGTGTGTATATGGCATTGAATGTTTGCCATGTATGTGTACATTGTAATCCGCCCTGAGTCCCCTGCGGGGTGAGAAGGGTGGAATATAAATACTGTAAATAAATAAATAAGTCTGAAACGACTTGAAAGCACACAACAACAACAACAACAACAACAACAACAATCCTATCTCATCAGCCAAAAGCAGGCCCACACTTCCCATTGAAATACTAATAAGTTTATATTTGTTAAAATTGTTCTTCATTTTAATTATTGTATTGTTTTTAAGTGTTTTTGCACTACAAATAAGATATGTACAGTGTGTCTAGGAATTCATTCATTTTTTTTTCAAATTATAATCTGGCCCTCCAACAGTTTGAGGAACCGTGACCTGGCCCTCTGTTTAAAAAAATTGTGGACCCTTGGACTAGACTAGAGAATTAATGCAGTCAGACACCATTTTCACTGCCATGACAGAATGCTATGGAATCTTTGGAGTCATCGTTTTACAAACTCTTTAGCTTTCCCTGTGAAAGACTTCTGGTAACTCTCCAAACTATAGCTCTCATGATTCCATAGCATTGAGCTATGGTAGTTAGTGGTGTCAAACTTCATTCAGTTTACAGTGTGATGCACCTGTAGCGTAGAGGCCGGTAGTCCTTATTCCTTGTGTTACAGCCATTCTTCAGTCTACTGAAATATTAAAGAACATTTTGGCTTTGGGATAAGTCAAACAGATGGGGAATTATGTCAAAGCTGGGCCAAATAGGTGGTCACCATCATTACAGATTTGGATACCACTGAAACTCACCTACTGCCGATTTGCTTGTTTAGGCCCCACCTACTTTGCTATATAATTCAGTTTCTGGTCCCAGATTATCTTTTTTGAACTGGATATGAGTCTGTATCACCATCTACACTGCCATATAATCCAGTTCGAAGCAGATAATATAGATTTTATATGGCAGTGTAGAAGGGGCCTAGGAATAGGGGTGGGGGTGAATGGGGGTGGGGGTGAAATAACAAGAAGTGAGAGAAATCTACCCCTCAAAAGGGAAATTCACTCCTGGAAGAGTTATTATGGAGAAAACGCCTCTCCGCTGAAGCTTCATTTCCAATCTTTGTTTCCAAACAAGCCATTTTTTTCAAAACCTAATTCTCACAGGGAGAGAAAATGAAGTTAGATCTTCAGACAGGGGCACAAACAGCATAACAGACACCACAGGGTTGTTGACCCTTCTCTATGCTATCCAAAACTAAAGAAATAGATACCTAGTGGCTGGAGTTACACTTAAAAATGTACCTGTTCTGACTTACATACAAATTCAACTTAAGAACAAAGAAGCTTTCATTAAGGGTGGGACACTGGTATCCTGAGTTGCCCCGTGTCGAAGGTGAAAATAAGAGACACAATAACAGTAAATCCAAAGTTGCAGTCGCCAAGGTGAAAACAGAGTAAAATGATATTCAAATTGTATTCAAAATATGGTTTTAGCTTTGAGGTCACATACATTTTGGTAGACCATGAAATTCAAATACAGGCAGGACAATTGACGTCCTAGGAAAGAATGTTACGGAACATTTTATAAATGTTAAATATAAATATAGGAAATAAATAAATAAATAAATTTTAGTCAAATACGGGACTGTCCCTTAAAATCTGGGGTGCCTGGCAAGCTTGTATCCTTCCAGATGTTGTTAGGCTGCAGCCAGAACTGGTAGCAGTGTTAGTCGAACATACGAGAATCATGCCTGTTCCATGTGGACAGGCCTGTTCTACTCTGATTCTTTTTCATGGATGATTGAGCCCATCATACTGGACTCATGGCATCTCTGGCCACTGCTTCGGATCTGCTTACTTCCTCCTGTTTTATGTGGATGGGTATATTATTCTCCATTAGCTATAAGGACATGTGGAAGGTGTCCATAATTTAACTAAACTGTGCATTTTGAGTGCAAGAGTAGATTACTGTGCCTTAATTTCTAATAACAGGGCCACTAACAGATTTGAACGAGCCCTGAAGAGAGGCTTTCTGTGGCATTAATCTACAGAAAGCAGCAAAGTGAGCAATACACACTGGGACTGAAATGTGTGGCATGAGGATGAGTGCCACTGATTTGGGTTCTGTGGGATGCCATCTATTAAAATCTTTGTTCTTGGACATAACGTCTTACTGCCAAATGCCACTTCTTCCATGCTTGTTTTTTTCCTATATAAAATAAATATGTCCATGTCAACATGGCAGTCTGTCAAGATTTGCCTGTGTGTGCCAAGTGAGTTGGTCTTGGGAATGACTGAAGGTAGAATATAACATTTAATCTCCATTTGAGAAATGCAAAGGGATAAGATCTTACTCTCTGGGTGTTTAATCATGGTTCTCAGAAGTTTGCAGTAGAAAGCTCCAGTGAGAGACAGATCTTCTACATTGCTAAAAAGTCCCATATATGTCTTAGACAGATACAATATCATGGGACATGAGACAGTGGTGAAAGTTCAGTGGGCATCAAATCATCTGGGCGTCCCCTGGGCAACGTCCTTGTAGACGGCCAATTCTCTCACACCAGAAGTGACTTGCAGTTTCTCAAGTCACTCCTGACACGACAAAAAAAAAAGTGGGCCTGACCAGCATCTTGTATGGCAGTGGTTACCATCCCAGGGTCCATCAACCACCAGTGGTCTCCAAGAACTAAAATATGGTCCACGGCCTCCCCGTTACTGCATCATTACTTGTGTGGAGCACAGTATCTATAATCACAAGTGTTGAAGATTTCAGTATAGTGCTGTGGCAAAGATGAATGTAAATGTTTTCCCCATGTTACAACAAAGGCTTGCCTATTCATTTGAATTAATCAAAGTACTTTATCTGTTTTTCTTCTAGCCAGAGTGGGCAGCCCTTCTTCTTGTACCTTGCACTGGCTCATATGCATGTGCCTTTGTTTGTGTCAGAACAATTGTGGAATTTGTCTTGCCAAGATCCATATGGAGCCAACCTGAGACAGATGGATGCCCTGGTAGGACAAATCAAGGACAAAGTTGATAGTACTGCAAAGGAAAACACACTTCTATGGTTCACAGGTGAGAAAATGGTGGAGGGGAGGGGAGTTGATTTAATTGTATTTTAATTTGTATATGGCATGACACAAAATAATTTATTTTATTTTATTTTATATATTAATGCATTGGCTCTATTGTTTCATGATTGTTGTTAGCTTCTCTATATCAGAAGAAATGTGGGATAAAAACAAATCAGATAAACAAAGTACATAAGGCAAAATACAGATAAACAAATTACATAAATAGGCAATGGCAGTTTCAGTCAGTCATGTCATTTCAATTAAAAGCGTGAACCTTGTCACCCGTGTCTAAATAATAAAACACAAATTCTCATTAAATAGGAACAAGGCATCGAAGTCTTAAATCCGCTGCTAATGAGGTTGTTTTTTTTTTTAAATCACAGGACGTGATCTTTTGCTCATTAAAATCCAAGGGAAATATTTCTTACTATTGTTTCCATTCCCCTTGCTTGAGTTATTAGAGTGAAAGGCTTACCTCTTTCCTACTGAGAAAATGTACTTTTATCTGGAAGTTGCTGCCACTCTCTGGAAGTAATTCATATATTTTATTTGGGATCATTGTGTCGTCATGTCAATTTTCAGGCCTGATTAAACACTTGGGGAAAACTGAATATGGCTGAAGCAGCCCTTGTTCCTTGTCTCGCCATACAACCAGATATTGGAGTACCTTCGTCATCACAGGATGTGACCCATACTTTCCTCTCCATTTTTGTCTTTGCCATTGAAAATATTATCAAGGGCTTGCTTATGTTAGACAGAGTGGAAACTATGTGTATGTGTCCTTTCATAGTACTTTATATACTCGAGTCTAAGCTGACCCGAATATAAGCCAAGGCACCTAATTTTACCACAAAAAACTGGGGAAACATATTGACTATTGAGTATAAGACAAGGGTGGGAAAGGCAGCAGTTTAAAATTACATTAATTGAGGCATCAGTAGGTTAAATGTTTCTGAATATTTACATAAAATTGTAATTTAAGATAAGACTGTCCACCTCTGATTAAACCATTATTCTAACTTTCTTCAATATAAATGTGCTTATGTATCTTTCCAATAATAATAAAGGGAGTAAAATAATGTAATAAAAAAAATAATAATAGAGTAAAATAATGGAAATGTAATAATAACAGTAATAATACAGTAAAATAATAAATGTAATAATAAAAAGTAAAATGTAATAATAACAACAATAAATAGAGAAAAATAATAAATATACTAACAATAATAAATAGAAAAAATAATACTGAGTTGTGGTAGTTTCTAGGATCACACAGTGGGTTTTAATGGCTTGGCAATGATTTGAAGCCTAATCTTCAGTTTCATAGTACAACACTCACACCCTTACAGCATGCTGGCTCCCCTGCTCCCATTTAGTCTTTGGCCTATACATGTGCAGGCATCCCACTTCAGTGTGAGGGAACTTAGGAGCATTTAGGATGCTGATGTTTCACTTCCAGTCAAACCAGCTCATGGTTGTATCTGAGAGCTTGAGAAGCCAGTCATGACATTCTTTGGAGAAAGATGCTGGAGGAATACTTCATATTCATTGGCGTTTCTCCATGAACAAGCAACCATGCAGTTTGAGTGATGAGAAGACCCACTGACCTCAGGGAAGCAAACCTACTCCATCTCGGATGCTTGAAGGCATGCCTGGCGTGGAGTGGGTGTTGTACCACTTTCCAGTTGCCACTGGACTAACGAGCATAACAGTTGATCAGGGATACCAGAAGCTGCAGTTCAACCCATGTTCCCTTTCAGATGATTTGCAAATGTTCATTGGTCATATGCAGCTGGCAGCCAAATAATAAATGCTTTTGGCTTCTCCATTGTTAAAAAAAAGTTAACATTCAATCTCATGACAATTTCTATGGAGCTCCATTGGGTTTTCCATCTCCTTTTAACCTTTTGCATTATTTTTCCAGCTACGTAAAAGCCAGTTAGTAGCATGTTGAAAGGCAATGTTTTTAAAATTTGCATATTCTCCATAATTGTCCATTGGAAGTAGCTTTTTATTACTCTTTTTATTACTTTTTATTACTCTTGGTGATGTGCTTTTAGAAGGTAAAGTTAAAGTTCTGCCTATTGGGAATCAAATATCCCTTTCTGTTCTTTTTCTCTCTTCTAGGAGACAATGGACCATGGTCTGAAAAGTGCGAGTATGCAGGCAGTGTTGGCCCATACATGGGGATGTGGCAAAGGGAAAGAAGTAAGTGTTAGCTTTCATTTTATTTATGCTCTGCTTGGCTGCTTTGCAGCATGTCATGGGCAAGACCTATTTTATATAAGTCAAATGTTCCAAATTAAAGCAAAAAGATGAAAGAAAGCAGAAATCTTGTCACCGAACACTTAGATCATGCTGTAAAATGTGTAAACCTAGATGATTCTAGCTTAAAACTCATTTACTGTTGGCTTAGCAGAGTAGACATAATGGAACTTGCTGTCCAACAACATATGGAGGACGGCAGGTTGCCCATCCTTGGTATGGACAAACCTTTGAAGATGTTGCTCCACTTGAATTTATCTTGGAAAACTTCCTGTGTGTTTGAAAAGGCCCCTGAATTCTGAATTTGCTCATAAGTTTGTACTTGGATATAGTCTATAGAGGAGTGAAATACTTTTCATTTGTATTGCTGTTTTTGCTGAGGACAATACTCAGATTTATAACCGACAGCACAGATTCCATGTAAGCCTTTAAACTCCCAATGTTAGTTTGGATGTAAAGCTCAGAGTTCATACTCCTTTCCCTTCCTTTTCTCTATCTAATCTTTACAGCCCCTTCCCTTCTTTTTTTCTATCCAATCTTATCTTAGTTTATAGTGTACTTACAGTTACAGGAGGAGACAGTTTATTGCTAGTTACCATGTCAACATAGAGACGTGAGCTGTATCTAACAAGTAGGTAGTCCCAGTGCAGATCAGGACACCCAATTTAAATGTATCTTTGCCTGTCAAATGTGACCCTTCCAAATTATTTATTTTTATTATTCTAAATAAAATGTGCCAATATTTAATGTATCACAAGACTTTTTGTTGGCTTTACTACAACAGATTTTTTTTTTGTTGTGTCAGGAGTGTCCTGTTGTGAGAGAATTGGCTGTCTGCAAGGACGTTGCCCAGGGGATGCCCGGATGATTTTTGATGTTTTTATCATCCTTGTGGGAGGCTTCTCTCATGTCCCCGCATGAGGAGCTGGAGCTGATAGAGGGAGCTCATCCGCCTCTCCCCGGATTCGAACCTGCGACCTGTCGGTCTTCAGTCCTGCCGGCACAGGGCTTTAACCCACTGCGCCACCGGGGGCTCCACTACAACAGATTAACACAGCTACCTCTCTAAAAAGTTTGAAAAGTATGGGGACCTTCCACGCAGCCTTATATCCCAGAATATCAAGGCAGAAAATCCCACATTATCAGAGTGTGGACTCAGATAACCCATTTCAAAGCAGATATTGTGGGATTTTCTGCCTTGATATTCTGGGATATAAGGCTGTGTGGAAGGGCCATCAGATAACCCAGTTCAAAACAGATATTGGGGGATATTCAGCCTTGATATTCTGGGTTATATGGCTGTGTGGAAGGGCCCTGGGTCCACACTTCCATATAGCCCGGTTCAAAGCAGATAATGTGGGAGTTTATGCAGCTGTGTGGAAAGGGCCCGCCCTGTCCATACAAAATCCTCATGATCTGCTTCAAACTGAATTATATTCAGTATGAACTCCTATCATCCAGGTTCAAAGCAGATAAAGTAACATTTAAAAAAACCTTTCCAAACAGTTACTGATATGGCAGAATTCTTTCTGCCCCCTTAACACCCATATTCTATCTTCTATTTTTACTTATCATTATAAATCATTTTTTATATATTTATCCACCTTCTATTTGTTTCCTTGCTATAGGTTGCATTGCAATAAAGAATAGGATGGATTTGCAAAAAGTACACGTATCTAAACCTCCTCTGCACTTTTGCTTAGCTATGAAGCTTACTCATCTTGGCACTACTTTTCTGTGGTGGAGATATTGCATGATTCTGACATGCAAGAGGCTGTACTGCTGATAGTGCTACTGACAATGTCTGCCATGCTAGATTGGCATTTTGTGTTAGGAGGCAAGGATGTAATTTTTTTTTTTTTTTGCTGTATTTGGCAAAATGCCCACAATATTTTTGTGACTTTTTTTCTCTTTTTTTTTCTTTTCCTTTTTTTTTTTTTAATTTTTATTGATTTATCACTTTATTACATACTATTACATTTTGTACATCAACCTCTTTAACATGTTATTTTATTATTTTACTCTAACATTTCTCCCCCTTTTTTTCTCATTTTTCCACCCCTTTTCCCACCACAGTGCTCCCCTCCACCCATTTCAAGCCACCCTTCTTACATTTCATCTGTCCAAAATTTCATTTCTTCTTGTGACGGTAATTTTCCTTCCTTATTTTTTAATCCATTTACCACAAATCTTCCCCATACAGCATCAAAATCGCTTTGTTTCCATATACCTTTTTTAACCTTTAATATACATGTCAATTTATCGTTTATTGCTATTTTCCATGCTTCTTTATACCACTCCTCTATTTGTATATTCATTTCTTTTTTCCAATTCCTTGCTATAAGCAGTCTTGCTATAGTTAGTAAGTTTGTTATCGCTTCTTTATCCTCCTTTTTCAATTGCTTATCGTTATATAGTGATAGTAATGCTATACTAGGACTTTTATCTAATTTTATATTCATTATAGTTTCTATTTCTCTAAATACTTTCCCCCAAAAATTATTTACATATTTACATTGCCACCACATGTGTATATATGTTCCTGGTTCTTGACACCCTCTCCAACAATTTATTGAGTTATTTTTATTCATATATGCTATTCTTACCGGTGTCAAGTACCACTTCCATATTAACTTGTAATAATTTTCTTTAACTCGTATCGATAAATTTTTTAAATGTCTTTGTCCCCATAATTGTTGCCACTCTATTTCGCTTATTTTTATCCCTAAATCTTCTTCCCAAATCTCTTTAAGGGTGCACTTTTTTGTTTTTTCATCTTTCATTTCAATTAATATCTTATAAATTTTGCTAATTATACCTCTCAAGTTTTCGTGTTCTTCTACAGTCCTTCCCTTCTGTATTATTTGTTCGAATTGACTGAGTTGGCTTTCACTTCTATTATTTTTTTTCCAATTTATTACCCATTGTTCTAATTGTATACAATGAAACCATGACAATTTTATTTCTTTAAACTCTTCCAACATCCTTTCCCTCTTCATTTCCACCTTCATCCAATCCCCTATCCTATCTAAATTTATTTCCCTTACCTTTTTATCCATTACTTTTTTCAAATTTTTTGGGAACTTCTTTTCCATCACTATTGGGGTTATAATTGATCCCTCCTTTATTAACCTCCCCTTATATTTATTCCATACTTTAAGTATATTGCTCAGCATTGGGTTTCTAATTTCCCTCATTTCTTTTCTAGTAAACTGTTTAAAAAATATATTCCAAGTTTCATCTTCCACTTTTCCTGAATCATTACTAAGCCAATCTATTCCCTCTTCTTTGACCATTCCTTCTATAACCAAACTTAATCTACTTGCTTCGTAATATTTTTTTATATTAGGTAACGCCAGTCCACCCTCCTTTTGCGATCTATACCATAATTGTTTATTTAGTCTGTTCCTTTTACTTCCATTACAGTACTTATTAATCATTTGTTGCCATCTAGTTAGTTCTTCTTCTGTAATTTGAAGTGGTAGCAGGCAAGGATGTAATTTGATCACATACTAAAACAGGGCTTCTTGTTAATCATAGGAAAAATTGGCCTAGGATCAGGAAATTCTGCAGGAGAGTAGATGCTTGAATTTGTTGGATATATGAACAATATATCCTTTCATATATCTTTTCATAGGATATATGAAAGGACCTTTATTACTTATTTATTCAATTCAAAACCAAAGGGTTGGAAGATTAGCAAACTTGGAACATGTAGGATATTGTGAAACAAGTCACACTTGGATTTTCACAGAAAAGGACAAAATCTGAAAATAAATCTTATCTGTGTGCTATTTACTTTACATGAAATAACCCGTTGGGAAGTGAGTACAGGCAGTCCCCAGTTTACAGACAAGATGGGTTCTGTTTTTAAGTTGACTTTTTACATAAGTCAGAAGAGATACATTTTAAGTGTATCTCCAGACATTATAGGTAAAGGTAAAGATTTTCCCCTAACATGAAGTCTAGTCGTGTCCGACTCTGGGGCATGGTGTTCATCTCCATTTCTAAGCCGAAGAGCTGGTGTTGTCCATAGACACCTCCAAGGTCATGTGGCCGGCATGACTACATGGAGTACCATTACCTTCCCGCCGGAGCGGTACCTATTGATCTACTCACATTTACATGTTTTCGACATTATATATCTTTCTTTTAAAAGTTTTGGATAGCATAGGAAATGGTGAACATCCCTGTGGTGCTTGTTTTGCTGTTTATGCCCCTGTTTAGAAGATTTCCCCTCACTTTCTGTCCTTGCGAGAACTGGATTTTGAAAAATGTGACTTGTTGTGGAAACAAGGATTGATGAAAAACCTCCAGTGGAGACACCTTTCTCCCTTGATAACTCTTTCAGGAGTGAATTTCCCTTCTTAGAGGTAGGTTTCTCTCACTTCCTGTTGTCTCACCCCAGTTCTTAACTAGGAATTGTATGCAAGTCAAGTGTTTGTAACTCAGGAACTGCTGTACACTGCTTGTACAGATTATAAACGTGTGGTGAGTAGTGCACCTAGTACTTAGGCGATCCCTCGCTTTCCGAGGATGATTGCCTTCCAGTGTTCTTGTGGGTCCGTATGTGGCTGTGGAGCCCTATTCTTGCTCTGCATCTTCTTCCGCAGTGAGGGCATTGGTTTCCAGGTGGAAGGCGGTCTCGGTCGGGGTTGGCTTGACGCGCCTTCCTCTTGGCACGCTTCTCCCTTTCGCCCTCCATTCGTGCCTCTTCAAATTCTGCAGCACTGCTGGTCACAGCTGACCTCCAGCAGGAGCGGTCAAGGGCCAGGGCTTCCCAGTTCTCAGTGTCTATGCCAGAGTTTTTAAGGTTGGCTTTGAGCCCATCTTTAAATCTCTTTTCCTGCCCACCAACATTCCGTTTTCCGTTCTTGAGTTCGGAGTAGAGCAACTGCTTTGGGAGACGGTGGTCAGGCATCCGGACAACGTGGCCGGTCCAG